TTCGGTGAACACAACGTAACGGAAGAATCGAGTATATAATAGATTTAAAAGGATATGTATGACACGAATGGGATGATGTATTAATGTGTTTTGAGTGCGTGGCGAAGCGGGAATAAGTTCGACGGGGTCCACCGTTGTCAGACAATTATTTGGTTAAGTCATATCCAATCAAAAGTTTAACAGAATCCTTTACAAAATTGTCGCTAGTATATGCGTGAGTCAATAACATCTGTTTGCATACTTCCTATTTACAGCTCGAAAAAAAGACAGTTGTCAAATGAACAGTTTAGAAGAATTATTCGATGTTCAATTTTTTTTATTAAATCTGACTTAAATTATTTACAAAGTTATGATCTTGATCGATCACGTCGACGACGATCACGGTAGTCATCACGATGAGATCGGTCACGATCTCGATCGTACCGGCGATCACGATCATATTTATGATGACGATCCCGGTCATGATGTCGATCGCGGTGTGAGCTACGATCACGCTCATCATCATAGCGACGGCGTTTCTCATCCTCTCTATATCGGCTGGACGATGACTTCGACGCAGGCGGTTGTTGTCGTTTTCGCTCGGCTTCCGCTAATTTGAGTTTTCTTTGTTTCTTATCGTATTCCCATTTTGCTTTAGCAACACTTTGACTGAAATCGACATGGATGCGTCGATCATCAATGAGCACATTGTCCATCTTGAAGTATGCTCGTTCGGCATCTTCTTCAGTTTCATATTCGATGAATGCATAGCAAAGTGAATCACCGGTTTTCTTATCACGCACAATTTCACAACTGAGAATTTCACCGAATCGACTGAATATTGTTTCTAAATCTTCATCAGTAGTCACCGGATTTAATTTACATACGAAGAGAACGTTTTCCGGTGGTTTCATATCAGCCTTAACAGAAGAAAAAAGTCGAAATCATGTTGATTGCTTGGCAAATAGATTTAACATACCTCCGGCAAGTCGCCAATCAATTCGAGAATCTGTGCTCGAGCTTGTGCTTCTTTCTCTTCAATATACTCTTTTATTTCATCATCAGTCTTTCCTTGTATTCGATCTTCGTCGAACAACTCATCGAAACCAATCATCGACGATTTCACTCGTTCAATTGTTGGCGATGGTGAACGGTCAGGAATGTCCAACGCCGCTGGCACTTCAAATGGATTTGACAAAATCACTGCATGAATAATTCGTATATCATGATAAGGTCGAAAGTCGCGTCCAACAACAGCAATATTGATCTTATCCAACACATCCCACCCATCAACAGTTTCACCAAAAACCGTGTGAACACCATCTAATGAGTCCAGATTCGGTACTAAGGTGAAGAAAAATTGTGAACCATGTTGATTATTTGTGTTATTAACCATTGAAATCGCTCCGCGTTTTCGATGTTTGATCAATGGTTTCTTTTCCATATCGAAATATTTCGCTTGTTCACCGTATAGTTGCTGGTAAACGGATTCTCCACCTCGACCAGTACCAGTTGGATCACCTGTCTGCGCAATGAAGTTCGTTTGAATCGAATGAAATAAGCAGAAATTGTAATATTTCATTTGACATAGGAGAAGAAAATTTTTACACGCTACCGGCCGTTCTTCATGGTATAAATCGACGGTAATATCGCCTAGGGTTGTCTCTAGTACAACTGCCATTGCAATTTTCTAATCTAGAATAAATGGAAAAGATTTTTTTCAAGTTTTATTTCGGTTTATTTTATTTCATTTTTTTGTTGAACATTTCTTTTGAAAATTTTTTAGTTTTTTTGTGCTTTTGTTCACTTTGTTACATACTACAAGCGCATTTATATACATCAGTTCAGCCAAAAGGAAAACAAAAGAAGTGAAATGACAGGCACACAAAGGGAAACGAATAGAAAGTTTTTTTTTTTTGTTCCTTAAAATGGAAAAAAAAACAAACAAATGGAATAACGAAAACGAATGTATCAAACAACGAGAAACATAATGTATCATTTCGCATCATTGTTCGATTCGTCGATCGTGTCTAATTTTGGACGCTTTGACGGAGAATTGATATCCGATTCGAGTGTACTATCCGGTTCCGATGATGTCGAGTCTAGTTTTGCTCGTTTGAGATTTTCGCATTTCTCATCCGTCAATTTCGTTTTCTCGGGCCGAGGACTTTGAGTGGATTGTGAACCCTTTGGTAGAATATTGCTCAATTCACGTCGACGAATGTAACTAGAAAGATGCAATTTGATGATGAGTGAAAATGAGCAAAAAAGAATATTACCGAGCGTCGAGATTAATGCTATCACGGCTTTTATTACTATTTGCTGCAGCTTGGTCGACAACATCGACAAACGCACGGATCTCATCAGTTAAATTTAGATGAACATTATTCGCATTGCGAAACTGTAATCCAACAATCCACATGCTACGAACTGCATTAGGAGTATTGTTCGAATTTGAAGAAGAATCGTTCGATGGTTTGCTATTGTTCGTAGACGACGATTCTGAAATATAATCGATTTATTTTTGATCTTCTAATGATGTTTTCTTGCCTACCTGGACTTTGATTTCCATTAGTTTCGGCTGGCTGTTGTAGCCGCTTAAAGACAACTTCATCGGGTGTGTATTTTTCTGAGTTCACATGTGCTAAGTCAATGTACGGATTTCGTTCTAGGTTGACGATGAGTAAACGTATCTTTGACTCAACCAAGCCACTCCATTCAACGTATCGATCTTGGTCTGGTGCGGATAATAGCAAGATGATGAAATGTTTATATCGATCAATAAACGGCCGGCCAGTAAATAGCTCTTTCCATTCGGATTTGCCTGACATAATTCGATTCACCGTATCCAAACCACGTTGAAACTCTTCGATAATGATTCGTTGTGTCGATCGTGAGACATTGTGTGTAGAATTTTGTTGTGGATAAGCTGGTGTGATAATGGGCATTAAGTGACGACGATCGAACGAATTCAATCTGGAATCCCAAACAGTAAATCCATGTTGAGGATCATTGATTTCTTTGAGTAAAACAGGTGTTGGCCAATTCCATTTGTTGTAGACATAAAAGAATTTATGAACTAACGTTGCCGCAATCGCATTCGGATACAGTTGACAGATGCGTGCAACGAGCATAGCCCATGCAACGCCGCCGAAGAAACCTAGTGCATTATTGTACAGGCCACTTTTCTTTGCCCATAACTTGATTGCACGTAGTGTTGCTCTGAATGTTTCACGATTAGGTACTAAATCAAGGATTTCATCAGCCACACGACAACCGTTTAAGCTTCGTACACAACTGTGATCAAGATTTAATAAAAGTTGATCGTCCTTTAAATCAAGTGTACTCGGAATACTTGGCAGCGCTAAACGAGCAAATAGCATATCCAATTCGATACCATCGTATACTAATTTAATCACTGGTACAAAAGCTCCTTCAACTGCATGTAAATCCCGCACTTCTGGTTGACTACGAAGACATTCGACAAATGTAGTAAAGAAATCTGTGCGATCGATATGACGTGGTGCAATGACGAGTGTATCGATATCACCACCTAAAATAGCCCAAGTGTTACAATGAAAATACACATCTTTTTCGAAAAACAAACTACATACCTTTCGAATGAACACCAAGTCGGTAAGATCCAAATGTATGTACGCCTCCGCCAACTGTATCGGCAATTTCTGCTGGTACGTTTTTCGCAATCGAAACATTACGAATCCATTTTCGTACTAATGCATCTAGTTTTGCCATGACTTCGACTCGATGTGATAATTCGGCATCAGATTCAAAATAATTATAGGAACGTAATGTTTCTTCTAAACTATCTGTTGCTGTACAATCTGATGGATCAGGGCCTTTGACTGACACTGGTGGAGTTATTCCATAGGAGCGAACTGGTGTTGGACTATTATTATCATTTCCAGAAGGATTATTCGATGTGGACGACTTCATTGTTGTCGTAGTTGTTTGACGAACAGTAACGAGCGTTGACATGTTCCAAATTTATAACATAGCAAACATTAAGGAGTGAATTTACCCACTAGTATTAACAATATTCCATTATTGTTCTACAATGATGAAATATCTACGTTAATAAGCACAAGATATAACGACAAATCAGCGACTTTTTCCTTCCGTCATTTAATTTCTTTTCTCATATTTCAGTCTGTGACTCGACATTGTACGAACCAATCAGATTCACTCGCCCGACCTCTACATGTGTCGTGGTAACACACCTATGCATATTTATTGTTCAATGTGAAGAAGAAGTGAAAAAGTGCTAGAAAAAGTTTTTCTCACAAATTCAAGTTTTTCCTCGAGCACAAAAACAATTGAAAACAACTCAAATAAAATAAATAAAATGCTCATGTCAATATACAGATAGTTTATTGAACATAAGGACGTGCAGACAGATGTTCAGTTAATCTGATTAATTGACAATTCTTCTTTTTTCCTTTCAGATGATTGAACAGCGCTCAGAAAAAGTTGTGCGCCAAGCCAAATTTCATTCTCTCAATGAATGGTAATGGAAATGACAGACAATCGTTTTGTGTCATTTCATCAATGATTTGTTCTATTCTAGAATCTCAATGAAAATTCGTGCTATTTACATCTGTTTCGTTTTTGAAGGTAAATGACTCGTCGTATTTATTTTTACTTCTCACTCGAGTATTTTATGATCACTTGACGGACGAAAACAACAGTCACCTCATCAATCATCTCGCCTTCGAGATAGAATTTTCTCCAGATTATATTTCGCCTTTGAGTATTTCATACGTAAAAAGAGAAACTCCGTTGTATGACTCATGAACGCGTTTGCGAACGCGTTACCTAGCCGAATAGAAATAGGTCTGACGAATAGCAACGAGTTTTTTTTTTCGTGCAGAACCGATCATTTTTATGTTTTGATGAATAAGTCCGGAAAGTATGGTACAAATAGCAAAGTTTTATCGCGTAGTACGAAACAGAAAGAAAAACGCCGACGACAAACAGAGTAGATACAAATAAATATCATAAAAATGCATACATTTAATCGACTGCGTTCGAAAATCCATCATGAATCTTCTCATCCGTCGAGAACCACACCAGCGTCATTATCAACAAAATTAACAACACATTTCATTCCTTCCGCAACTGCCAATTCTACTAATACTACACCTACTCAATCTATTAGCATCTCAGCACCTATTATTAATTCGAAAGACAAGGTTATAATTATCGACAAAGATCAGACAAATAAGAGTCGTAATGAAGAGCAGATATCAGTTGTAGACGACGACAGCATCGAAGAACAACTGATCTCATCAGAAGAAACAGAAAAAATGTCTGGTGAATGCACACATCTTGATGATCAGGTAGATTAGAAAGCGAAAATGAAGGACAAATTGGAAGTTATTTCTCCTTGTTAATTAACGGAAATACCAGTACAAACATTTTTCTCTCTTCGTTGGTCTTCAATTTATCCTTGATCAATGCCCCTTGGCATATATATCGGATATGTATTGAACTCAAGGATAATATCCACGTATATATATAGATAGATACATTCTTCAGGAGAGGTAGACGAGGAGGATGTTAAACACTTCACTTCGTATAATTGAGGTCATCACTTCATCTAACTAGTTGGATTTTGTTCCATAAGAGATGAAATGGTGCGAATATGCCGCCACTGGCAGACATGTGCACACTCAGATAATTGATTGCCTTTTTTTAATCGGGTTATTTGCCTTACATCCTGTTGAGAGAAAACAACAAAGAAAAGCCCAAAATGAGCAAAGATATTGCATGATGCANATGTTAAACACTTCACTTCGTATAATTGAGGTCATCACTTCATCTAACTAGTTGGATTTTGTTCCATAAGAGATGAAATGGTGCGAATATGCCGCCACTGGCAGACATGTGCACACTCAGATAATTGATTGCCTTTTTTTAATCGGGTTATTTGCCTTACATCCTGTTGAGAGAAAACAACAAAGAAAAGCCCAAAATGAGCAAAGATATTGCATGATGCACGTTCATTTCGGATAATCGTTCATGACATCTGCTATTTTTATGTTATTCCATGGAGAACAATTTTTGAGTCTTCTTGTTCTTTTTTTGTTCCTCTCTATTACAGATCTCACTTTTTCCCGTCGTCTATTAACCTCAATTAATATTAACATACATATACGTACATGAAAAATGAGCAAATTAATATTCGTTATACATCATCTTGTCTTTATTCGACATAACCTTCTTCATGTCTCATGTACATCGATCGATTTGATTGCACAAGATCAATCCTTGAAGTTAAAACTATTACTAATAATATCTATCTATCTATATATATATATATGTGTGTGTATGTGCGTATGTGTATCTATCACTTTCTTCTTCTCTTTCCATATGTACATACAATAACACTTTGCATTTTTTTTTCACTAGCTGTGTGTATGAACAAAACACATGCGAGTAATCATCAATATACATTGAGTCTGTCGTACTTTATAAATAGCAAGAGATGAATATAACGATAAATGAGAAAGAAAGAAGAGAAAGAAAGAATAGGGTGAAATATTTTCTTAGTGATGATATCACTCTTGCATATGTCATTCGTTCTATCTGATATTATTCCTAGTATTCGCACGTACATGTACACTTACATATTGTTCCCTATTGCGTCAAGTGTTAAAGAATAAGTAAGACGAGCTTATTGTGGCATCAGCATGTCGACACTAGGAAAGAAACTGCCTGCAGCTTCATCATCAAATTTAAGAATTCTTCCGAAGGTACAACTGATAAGACACTTGTCAACACTAATCTAATACATAAACGAAAGATGACATCAATGAACTATATATTTCTTTTTATTT